CCCGATCCCGAATTCCGATGATGACGTGAACCGAGGGTGCTGATAAGAACCCCGGTCACTGTTATCAGGACAGTGCCAAGACCGTGTGGACTGCCCCTGAACGTTTCCTGTCCAACGCAACAAAGAGTAAACATTTGAACGGTTCGATTTGTGTTCCACATGATTTGATTTGATTTAATTTGTTTGAATCACCAAGTATACCCTAACCCGACCAACTCGACTAATCTCGGAATTGGTAAGCGGAAGATTTCATAATTTCTAAGGCCAGACCCGAGAAATCTAGAGGCCGAACCCTATTAAAGTTCAAATCCAAATCATCCATAGAAAAGCCAGATTTTGGACTCTGAGCAAACTAAGTTGCGCCTCACCTACGTGATGATCATCTGATCTTGCAGGTGAGCCCGAAGTTTCTAATCGATTGTTCAGTATCAGCATGTTAAACAAATCCTAAACTCGATCTCCACCGGTGAACAGAATTGCTTCAAGTGCGCATACCTTCCATCTTTCACCATCAACGTCTCTGGATTCATCCTCGTCGACTACGCTCATGGACTTGTTGATGAGCGCTAATTTGTCTCTCTGGACGCATTGGACGTACTGATATATGCATCGTGAGAATCAGTAAGGTAAGACTGGATCCACTGAACAGTAGGTAAAAGTAGTAGTGGTATACTTACCGTCTCGATCGACCGGGAAATGATGTACCTGGTGACCGTCACGACCTTAGTCTGCCCTGTTCTGTGCACCCGATCGACCGCCTGAGCCTCTGCCATGGGACTCCAGTTTGGCTCCATGATGTGCACATTGCTGGCGGCCGTGAAGTCGACCCTAGGAATTGTGAGTCAGTGAAAGACCGTAGTGAGGCCAGTAAGGTAGGCATTGATCCGCATGAGTGGACTTTGCCATACCCTTCCCCGCAGCTGCCGATGCTCGCCAGCATAACTGAACACTCATCATCCTCATTAAAACGCCGCAAGGCCTCACCTCTGGCTTCGAGAGTAGATTGACCGTCGATTCTCCGGATGGTAAACTTGTGTCGTTGTAGCTCTACTTCAATCATGTCGAGCATCTTGGTCCAGTAGCTGAAGATCACGCTGTAAGAGATGGTCAGTCAAAGTACCCAGCGATATCGGTGAGTGACTCATCAACGGACCTCTTAGTAACTATCCTGCTAGTCTCCGTGTTCCGTTCATTTTGCAAATTTCGGACGAGATCCTGTACTTTCGCTGAGGGTCGCCAAGTCTCAAATTCAGGTTTCGAGCATTGATAGAGTGGTTCCTCGGTCTTGCTCTGCTTTGTTTCGGTGATCTGGGGCCCAAGTGTAGTATAACCCAGAGGCTCGCAAGACTCACAAGAGGCGTCCTGGTAGCTTGCGGATGATGGAGGCGTTGCCATCGGGCTTGATGCCGCGAGCTCTTCTAGCTCGGCCCCACACGTCTTGCAGGTCCTTCGGAAAGCTGCCATCGTCTGCCAGCTGAGCAGGGAGATGTCTTTCTGGAGCCACGCCGCCGATGCTTTGGGCGGCAAAAGTGCTCTGCCATGGTTGCAGATGAGCCTCAAGATGTTCATAAGCGAAAGGATATTGTCTTCGTTCACCGCAGCATCGCGCTTCTTTCCCGCTCCTTTCTTGTGGTGGATACTGATGGCGGCATCGCTTGTCTTTTTGCGAAAGAATTCGTAGATTTCTTGATCTTCTTTGCTCAGATTGAGGTACTGCATCTTTTCGATCGGCTTCGCAAGATTTAGTTGGACTGTTGGCGATGCCTTTGCACGCCGCAAGCAGGTGGCTCTCACCAGCTCCTTTAACGTTTGTAAGCTTCTCGGCCGATTTTCTTGAATGGGTGATGCGATATAGGAATCAGACATGGATTTATCGTTGAAGGGCTGAACCTTGATGAACGTGAGCAGAGCACCATAGTCATCGAGGGAATTGTGAATCGGCGTCCCGGTTAGACACCACCGGTACCGCGCTTTAAGCCCAACGGATGCCCTGAAGAGCTGGGATGATCGGTTCCGGATGTGGTGTGCTTCGTCTAACACGACCCGGAACCATTTCTCGGCAAATAGTGGCCCCTTTGCCCCCCAGTCTGACCTCAACGTTTCATAGGTTGTCAGAACGACATCAAATTGCCCAAAGTCCGAAGCCAACTTCTGCCGCTGAGGGCCGTGGTACAAGGCGGATTTGATCTGGCCCGGCAGAATATGTCTTGAGATTTGAGTTTGCCATGCGTGTAAGGTCGACTTGGGGCAGACGATTAAGGTAGCGTTAAGACTGGCTATTCTTTCTCGTGCGGTGTACGAATGGAGCTCGTCAAGGGATGAGCATATGAGGGCCAGAGTGCTCAGGGATTTTCCGAGTCCCATATCATCAGCTAAAACTCCGCCGCGGATCGGAACTAACCTAGGTTGGCGATGGCCGGTGATGGTGTTTTGATAGTATCTGCGGCAAGCAGTGGTATGTTAGGCCCTGTGTCGAACTGTCGTTTCTCGCTTTCCACTCACTGATTTTCTGGCCCCGGAACCCACAAGGTTGGAAAACGTAGCCGGCCAGCAATACCGCATTCCCTTTCGACCATCACAGCAAGTGCGGTAAGTTGATGGCTATATACAGTATCAGTAAAAAGTACACAATGAAGTAGGAAGTGCGCGCTTACTCCATCAGCGTACACGATAAGCGAGTGCTTGGATGTGCAGCTACGGAGACCTGGCCCGTCTCGATGTCCACGGAATCAAATATCTGGAGCATGCGAGACATACGAGCCTCATCTAATGGGTGCGACATGGAGGGACTCTGACTTCCACCCATGAGAGGCATCTCAAGATTTGGCATCTCAGAACCGGGACGCAAGAGGTAATGCGGATTGCAATACTCCGTATCCTCCTCGCATTCGTAAGCAAAGGGGTGTTGCAAGTAGAGGCCGGCCTTTGACAACTCCTGTCCGACGGCCGTCTTATCATCTCTCATGCCGTATAGTACGATTCTGACTGGGCATCTCTTGGGCGATGGTGTATCTTCTTTCTTTGGCTTCGTCTCTACCCGTGAATCGCAAGGCATGAACTGTGCCTTGAGCTGAACTTTGTACCGATCCATAAGAAGGTAAATAACGGGTGAGTCCAAGCTCCCATAAAACGATACGTCGAGGGGAGTGATCTGACTAGCAGAGAAAGAAGACATCGCCGTTGTGTTGATCTTGGTTATGTTGTTAGCAATTGTTCTAATACCTATGAGAGTGACTGGTTGTAACTCACGACTCCAAAGCATCCATCGTACTCCAACACAATGATCTGATTAGTGACAGGGTCGGATGTAGGTAGTACTTGCTTGTCAATTTCAGGGGCTATCGCCAAAAGAGTTAGCGATCATATGATTCATATCCAGTTGTAGTTTGCATTTAGCACAAAATTACCGTATTCTGGGATGCTATTGACCGGAATCGGTGTCCTGGATATAGCGCATGAAGGTGGACTCGGATGTTGGGAAGCACCTGCAACGAATCCGATTCTAGGGCGTCCCAGGCTAGGCTTAGCTGAGCTTGGCCGAGCTGACAAGAAGTCCAGTCACTGCCGTGGAGTTCTTGGGTTCTGTTGTACTGCGGGGCCCAGTCGAGTTGACTGAAGCGCGACTCATTTGTCTCCAGTGTGAAAGATCAAATGCAGCTTTATCGGCTGCGCGTGGCGTCGCCTGGGCTTCAAAACTCGACATGAACGGGACTCGCACGAAAAATATCACGACCGCCCTTGGAAGTGCAGTCTTCCGACATGCGAGTATGCACAGGGGGGGTTCCTCTCTCGGAAGATGCGCGACGAGCACCTGGATCGGTATCATCAAGAAGAGAGCTCAAATCAAAGCTCCCGATTACAGCAACCTGACCCGGACGAGATTCAACCACTACTATTTGACCTGGTTCAAGCAGGTTATGTAGAGGCTGTTCGCTCGTTACTTCCACTTTGGAGCGACCGTTCGAAATCAGCGAATACAGCTCTAGGTGAGCTGGCCGCGTCTTCGGGATCAGTTGCTATGCTCCACTTACTCCTGACTCCAGACTTAATAAACGACCCGACCCGTTTCGCAAGGCTTGCTGCTCGTCACAGAAACGCGGAAGCGCTGGAGTATTTATTGAAATGCTGCTGTCTACAACGCCCTGGTTGTATATGCAGCATAGAGGCTGTCCTGGAGTCAGATTCAATGGAGATATACCACATCTGGAAAAATTACATGGCCAGAGAATTGGAATCGGAGGAATGGCGTAACCACAACGCCGGATATTATTCCCTTGAATCCCTTTTTAAACTTGCGACCGGCCGTCCCGATAGGCAGCACGTCATTATCAACATGTTCGAAGACACGGGCCTCTTAAAAGCACTGCCAGAATATCATAGACACCGTACACTGCAATCTGTTGCAGATACAAACTTCTCGATTGGAATAGCGAAATATTTGCTCAAAGGCGGCGTCCTGGTGAATTATAAGCGAAGTGGCTCCCATAATACAGCGCTTCGCTATGCCGCCAAAAGGGATACCGCCGATGCTGCCAAATTTATGAAGTTTCTCCTTCTTTGCGGTGCGAACTCGGGAAACACGGGTAAAAGGAAGATTGGAGACCAGAAGGGTGCGAAGAACATATCGAAGCATCTTGGAATGTCCTGGGACGAGCTAGTGGCCGAGACTGCGAAGCAGAGAGAACAAGTTCTAAGCCAGAAAGATCTCAGCCCGGACGAGGTTATAGAACAACTGGCCTCGTTGGTATGAAGCTTCTTACACGGGGTTGCAAGGGTAATTTCATGTTAGTATATAGTTACTTAGCACTGCGCTCGCATTCCTCGATATGGAGGGACGACATTGCGATTTGACGGGGAAGACTGTTTCGGTGGATTAAACGTAGTTACGGGGTCGACTTAGCTAAGGATTGCAGCATTGAGTTTCGGGATCTTTGCGGGGGCTAAAGTCAAAGGATGTTTTGCTTTTAAGAAGGAAAGCTGTGGTCATTATAATCATCAATGGGTATGTGGTCTAGTGGTATGATTTTCGCTTCGCAAATTGTCCAACAGCTGCAATGTGAACGGTCCCCGGTTCAATCCCGGGCATATCCAGAGTTTTTGTCTTGTTTTTATTTTTCTTCCTTTTTCCTTTCTCGCTCCTGAGAATTTGGACTTTTCGTTTTCCGAGCCTGGATGGAAGCCGGTTTCATTACTTTCTTTACCTCTTCTTTCAGGTAATTCGGCTTTTGCTTTGATCTTCAGGCGTAGTAATATTTTTTTCGGTAGCCTGGCAATTATGGACACCGAATCATCACCTGATATCGAATCGCAGGTCTCGTCTCTTAGGCAGAGCTGGTGAAGCGGATAGATAGCATCAGAAACAAAACATTCTAGTACGCTCATGTAATATTAAGAGATGATAATGTCGTTTGTATTGCTGCTTCTCGGATTTGAACGCTAATGAAGATGCTTGCTAAGAAATGACTATACCCTATCATCTATGTTTCCTGTGCCGACTCTGCCGAGGCGGCCATGTATTCCTCCTCGGTCCTTGCCACTCGCTGCTCAGTAAACAGTGAAGGATCTGAATATTACACCTTTGCTGGAGCAGTTTCTGGATCGAGAGATAAGTAAAACAGCTTTGAGCAGCTGTGGGTGACGGGTCCAGCCCCTGGACTTTCGTCGTCGTTGAAAGCCCTGTAGTCACGCTTATCCTCATCCTCGCCTAATCTACACACCATAGAATCTTAGTTTTGTCCTAGAACAGCCGCGAGACGAGAGACATGGCCAAAATTGAACGCAAGGAAATCGAAAAAGACGTGTCTTACCCAACCTCGGTCGTAGGCGGAAACAGCCGTGCCAGTCGGACGAGAACCCAGCTGAACGGTCCCCTCTCGGCAAACCGACACGTCTGCCACTCACTGTTCTCCCACCTCTGGTAGTCGCCTGACACATTACTAGCTTTCTTGACGCATATATCTCGCTCCGCAGGGACGTGATTGGGCTCGCTGCAATCAGTGTTGTTCTCGCAGTAAATGACGAGTGAGAGCCACTGTGTAGAAACCGGTCCCGTTTCGTAGATCCGGGGCGCGCAGTTGACTAGGTGCAGATCTCCCTTTGCGAAAGCGCGATCATTGCTCTGTCGGGTAACTGGGGGAGGAGCTGGAATAGCAACAACACCTTGCAATAATAGGAGCAGGACAGATAGAGATCGTGACAAGTTCATGCTGTATCTAGATGATGTAAAACTGGTCGGTTCGGGAATGGGAGATGGAAAGGATTCTCGATGACGGAACAAATGTTATGTAGAAAGTACTGCGTGCTGGGCGGGGGGGGGGGGGGGGGGGGGGGGCAAAAACCAACACTGGCATTGCGGGGAAAATAATTATTAAGTAAATCTTTTGTGTTTTTTGTTTTCGCTGGCCCACGCAGCAATCCTCAGGAAAAGTCCACGGTCAGACATAAGGGGAAAAGAATACAATTAAATATCTCCCACTTTAGAGGCAGGTGTGATAACCTATAGTACCCAAGGTGGGTGTCGGACAGGAAAGGAAGGACGCTCAATGAGGAAGGTAAATCTTCTAAAGCTTATTCCCCACAAAGATTCTCACATTTGGGGCTTACATCAGCTCCCTCCCCGGCATCCAGAGTTACGTAGCCCGCTTGTTTTCAAAATTTCTTGTGCCATTTATTCCCGCAGTTCATGAAACTGCAACCACAGCTGGTTACCCTTCGGCCCAGCAGAGAACCCTTCATCCTGCTCGAGGACCTTATCATTGCCATTCCTGTCCGCACCAACAAGCTCGACAGAGTAGCGGAGATAGATCGCCGCAACCACGAGTTTGATAGCTGTCAAGTTCGATCCAAGTGTTAGCATAACTCTTCTCTTTTGCAATTCTTTTTGGGATGATACCACGAGAAAAGCAACAGAGGCTAGGTAGACTCACAAACCAAAGCAAAGTTCTTGCCCAGACACATCCTCCCGCCGCTACCAAAAGCCCAGAACCACCGTCTCATCTCAATCAATCGATCCTCATCGGCATCTATCCATCTGCGTGGAATCCATTCCTCCGGGCAGGGATAGACATTCTCATTGCGGTGTAAAGTACAGGCATAAGACTGGACTCTCGTCCCTGGGGGGAGGGCATAGCCGTCTATGGTGCAACTAATTCCATTTCTTCCGTGTCCGCTGGTATTTGGGGCCGGGGGCGTGTATCGTGCCTGAGGTCCTCCCACGGGCGGGTATAACCGTAGTGTCTCGGTAATAACTGCCTCCAGGAGGGGCAAGGAGTCCAACTCTTTTAGCGAGACATTGGAAAAGATTTCCTTCAGCTCAGCAACACCGGTCACGGCCTGACTTGGGAGCAAGCTGGCCAGCTCAGCCCTCAACTGGGCTTGAATAGCCGGGTTCCTCGCAAGCTCGTAATGCAAAAAGGTCAACGCAATCCCGCTCGTCTCGATTGCTGCCACGGTCTCGTCGTACATGTCTGATGCGATCTGCAGGCGGTGGTCATACTTCTGCTCCTTCTCCGCCCTCCCGTCAGTACCTTCAAGTTGCCAGAAAGTCGGCCCCAGAGGGGGAGTAGGCGCATCAGTCATGAAACTTCTACTCCCAAACCGTCCATACTTCTCCTTGGCAATCGCAAAGATAGTAGGCCAGTTGAGGCCCATCAAAGAGGACGATGAGGAGATTACCTCAGCAGCACGATCATACCTCTCTATGAAGTACTTCTCCAACGCTACCCGAGACCGTTCACACCACTCGGGCACAAGCCGTATTCCCATCCTCAATAAACCGTTCGTCAGCTTGGGTAACTCGACCTCCCAAAAGACGGTATACGGCCTCGGCGCAAAAAAGTGATACAAAAGCCAGTTTCTAGCTTCTGAATCGCCAACAAAATTCGTGCCGAGGTCTTCGCCCAGCTGATAGGCAGTAAATGAATCAAGCGAGTAGGCGTAATTCAGAGGGTGAATATCTACCGGTGTTTTTTGATCCGCACTATGTTGAAGTATCGGAAAGAGATTATTGAAGATTACGTTTGCTGTAGTCTGGGGGATTGCTTGGGCCGCGAGGATCGTGGATTTAGAATACGCTTGAGTCAAGAGTTTCTTGCGCTGGTAGTGTTCTCTCGAGGAGCGGGTTGTGAAGATGTTGTCTACCCTGTACGTTTTCCCATCGAGCCAGTCAGTCTGGGTTGGGTTTAAGGAGGGTGGTGGGAGAGCTAATGACATACCCGAAATTGGAGAAGCGGTTAAAGTACCACTCTGTCTTGGGGAAATCGCCATTGTATATAGTTTTCAGGCCGTCGCTGGAGTTGACGCTCACTTCGTTTGGTCCGAGAAGCACCAACGGGCCATGTTTGGCGTGCAGCTTTTGGACTGCTCTGTTTTCTGTGTTGGTGTACTTGATGTAGAAGCTGTAAAGGGGCAGGATCCGGGCATGCCATCTTGCAGCTGGGATCTTGGCAAATGGTGAGAGGATCAAAGGATAAATAAGAAAGTTGTAGAGTCCAAGAAATGTAGAAACTATGGCTGCCGCAAAGGCCACGGATATGACCAACAGACTGGGCTCGAATGACAACGCCATGTTGAGTAACTTAATAAGGTTCGTGAAAGTTCCACAGCGTAATGACAAAGGTAGTGTGAAAGAAAGGCAAAGGCCATATTTCCAAGCCACGATCCCAGACCCCCAGGGGCCAGATTTATATGTTGTAACACCCATCCTGTCTTATCTCCAACGCGGGGAAAGATACACGTTAGATGTATATGTATGCAACCATGCAGCAAGCATGGAATATTTACATCTCAGCCATCCTATCAGAGTGCCTGTACCGGTTCATCAATATGCCAAGGCTGCATGCAAGGTGCCTTTTCACAGGTGATACTTGGTTCGGCCAACGGGATGAAGAATAATCGTATATTTTAACTCGAAATGGTTTGAACTGCACTGGCAGTTGATGCACGTTATACGTATGTGCCTGGGGGGTGGGAGTTGAATGGTCGGAGCAGCGAACTCGATGAAGTCAACAGGTAGAATTAGCTGGAGCAAGGCTTACTGACCTGAGCAGAAGAGCGATATACCCTGGCTGTCCTAGAACTCGAATTTACAGGATCCTATAGAAGCCGGATCAAGTAAATTTGACTCCCCTTTTGCAATGCGTACTTCAGTTAATGTGTTCTCCGTCTCCCATATGTTCCACCTCAGCTTCCCATGTGTATTCTTACGTACGAATGGGCGCACCGTACGGCATAATACCGTATCGCGGGTCTTCGTTCTGCCCCGTCAGACGCGCTAGCAGTTTCAGTGGTAACGAGGTCCTGCCCCGCCAGACGCGCTAGCTGTTTCAGTGGGCTGAACTTCCACCGCGTCGGTTGCCAAGACCCTCCGACGCCAGAAAATGGCTCATTTTCACGTCTAATTCCGCCAACATGACCCATTTCTTGTATACTAGAAACCCTTGCATGCACATGTCAGCCACTAGCTACTGGGCGGGACAGAAGTTCAGAACGCGTCAAGGAAAAAGCCAGGCGGTCAATTCTCATCTCCAACAACCGTTCAGCTCAATCGGCCCTCCCCTCACTGCGTCCTCGGTCTGTTAACCTCTTGGTCACGTCGAAAATATCGGGCTTCTACTGCAGCTCTCCCAGTCCTCCTCCATCTCTTTGCCCTCTCGTCCTTTAGTCGGGTTGTCGCGTCTTCAAGATGCCGTCCATCATGTCAATGCCGGCTGAGCTGGCCATCATGATTGTGGAAAACGTCGTCAGCTTAGGAGACCTATCGGCTATTGGACGAACATGCCGCAGATACCACGACATCGCTGACCCAGTCCTCTACCAACGAGCTCTCGCAGATTCGGACTGGGAGGTCGACCTCCTTCTCTGGGCTATCGAAAGAAAGTGCCCACAAACCCTGGCCAAGGCCCTTTCCGCTGGATTCAACCCAGACATAGTTGTCGAAATACCTCTGAGCCATAGGGAGTGGAAAAGAGGCGAAACCAGGTTTTGGAGACAGTCTCGGCAAAGAATCGATGCAAGGTCTCATTCCGTCGTTCCTCGACTGGACCTAAATTTCACCAGCACTTACGACGCGGATATTGAGAATCATGATCGAT